GGCAAGAAAGATCGTAAAATGAGGCAAAACCAGGGGTGGGATTCTACCGGTTCGGACTGGTTCTATAGAACCGGTTGTCACACCCACAGACCCAGTCGTAAAAATATTTGCATCCCACCCCTGGGCAAAACCCCTGGGCAAAACTCACTTAAACAAATGTCTCACTTAGTAATAAAAACGTTGGGCTCAATTGTGTTCGTAACTCGTGGACTACCTGTATGTATATATTGGGAGACCTCCAAGATCCCTTTCTATTTTGGTATTCTGCATTCTATTTCTTGGTCGCCAGATTTCAGATCCAAAATAGATGGTTTCTGTTTTTTTGTTTTGTTTTTCTTAACGTCTAACAGCTAGAAAGTTTGGGCCAGAGCGAGCTGGCTTCAAGACTCACTCTCAATTGCCAGAATTCCTACGTTGAACCTCATAAGATCCGAGATGTCCCTGTCACCATCATGGATGTGAGCAACCTTGCAATATTCCTAGCTGATAAGCATGAGATGAAACTGGGTTAGCTGGGTGTTGGTTTGTGGGAATCTCCAATCCAGGAGGATCTGTGTCTACGGTGGTCGTACCGGCACCATTTCCTCCAAGCATTGGGACCTTCTGGAATAAAAGAACTGTTATTCCCTTCAGGGGAAGACCCTGAGCTCAGTGATAAGGGATGGCAAAGCTCATGCTGGTTTTGACTTTTAGGTATTTGATCAGAGTGCCCTATCTACAGAAGCCAAGGAAGAGATGTATAAATTGTATCCCAACGCCAGGAGAGCTCATCTTAAAACAGGAGGCAATTTCCCATATCTCTGCAGAAGTGCTGAAGTAAACCTGTATATCCAGGTAAGTCCTGCTCACTCACTCATTCTGTCAGCGTTCCAGCAACCCTCCTTTCCAGCCAATAACTCCGAGACAGACACCTTCTCAAAGATTGCTTTATTAGGATAGTAACTGGCACATCTGTGGAATCGCGAATCTGGAAGTTTTCGGGCTTCCTTGCAATATTCAAAACTACAAATCCATCCCCCACCTTGGCCGTCCATCACATCACATGGCCCAGTCACGAGGTCCATCCTAAAGTAAGATTCTTATTTCATTCTGTGCCACACTCAATGGCCTTGAACTGACAAAAGAATTTCATTTTGTCTATGTAGAGATACTCAATTTGAAATCCCACTTTCTCACGCTTGTGGCAGCGTGGGAGCATTGAATGTCAATATGGCTTCCAAAGCTGACACATTCATTCATTCATTCATTCATTCATTCATTCATTCATTCATTCAATTCACCCACCTATCCATCCATCCACCCAATTTATTTGCCACTCACAGTTCAGGCAACTCTGAGCAACATTTTCCTCTCTCATGGGTGAAAGTAGAGTCAATGTCGATGTTTTATGGTTTAAAGGGGGAAAAAAAGGAACGAATAGATTCTACTTCTGTCCATCTGCCCTACAGATACACTTGCTTCAGTTCCATGGGACCAGATATGCTGCTATTGACCCTTCCATGATCAGTGCAGAAGAACTAGAAGTCCAGAAAGCCAATCTCCAATCTAGCAACGAACAAGAACCACCATTGTAAGCAGCTGTTTGGCTGTTCTTTCACCTGGAGGGCCTCGCCTCTTTCCTTTGTTGGCAGATGTCCTACCCAGTCACATCTGACCTTCTTGCCTTTCTCTTGTCTCCCACTAAACTGGCTAGAATTGTGTCCTTTAAACTCAGCTGGATGGATTTCGTTATATGAAATAAGGCTACGGATGCTCGCTCCCATTTCTGTTTCACAAGCTAAGTTTGGATAATAAAAGTTAAGGATGCAACTTTGGCAGACTCGTTTAAAAAAACAGAACGAATGCAACTGTCAGAGACAAACTTTTGGTACCAAAGCCTTCATTACTGTGCTCTTACAGAGAATAAATCTTTTTAATATATATGTATATATACAAATCTCTATCTCCATGCAGAGAAAGGCTATTATGAACAAATTACAGATGACTGTAAGCTCATTTATAATTTGAATATTTAGTTTTAAACTGTGTTGGAAGTGTCAGTATTGCTGTTACGTTTCTTTATATATTGTTGCCGCTTAATGACTTGAAATCAAAGGGGTTTTTTTGTAAAATTAATTTGCTATCATTTTTGAATAAAATTTTAACTGGGTGTGGGAAGGACCCCAGTTATTCTGCTATGAAGAATTTGCAAGGTAATAGCTTTGCTTCGTCCTTAAGGTTTGGAGATGTAGTATCCTGCCTGACCTGGAGCCCTCCAGTTAGATTAGAATTTTACAAATTTTACAAATTCAGAATTTCCAGTTGTGCTCTTCATAATTACAGAAGATTAAAGTTTTTTGAACGTTGGAGATGGTTATTGAGACCTGAAACAATCCAGGTTTCCTAAGAAGTGACAGTTCCCAGGTTTTCGGGAACTACAAACAAATGAACTACACAAGAGGGGGGGGGGAACCATTTATTTGAAAACCAGACATTTCAACATTGCTTTAAAAATACAAAAACTTCATGACAAATTTAAGAAAAGTGTACCGTCTGTAGATAAAACACTGTCCTATCAGCACGTGAGAACAAAACACTGTTTTGAATTTGAAAGTGCATATTTGTACAGCTGGAAACATGTCTGTATGTGTGTGTGAATCCTAGGCCCAGGGTCCCCTCCAGGACTTTGGGATCAGGGCAAATAATGATGGAGGCTGGGGACAGTCCCAAGCTTCTCCCCTGCAATTGGTATCATCCACCACCTGGACAGAAGCGACTTCAAAGTGCAAGGCGTGACTTAGAGCAACTTCTTCCTGCCTTCCCTTTCACCAGAGATGAGCAACCAATGCCCAAAGAAAGTGTGCAATGCACCTCCAGGCACCAGTCTTAGAGCTGTATCCTAGCCCACCGGCTGGTGTGTCAATCTCTTTCTCAAAGGCAGGGCTCTTCAAACTTGACAGCTTTAAGACTTGTGGACTTCAACTCCCAGAATCCCTCCTCCAGTCATGTTAGCTTAGGAATTCTGGGCGTTGAAGTTTACAAGTCTTAAACTTGCCACGTTGAAAGACCCTTCCTCAAAGGAAATGACCCAAGGTTGAAAGAGGCCGGGCTGAAGAGGCCCAGCCAGAGGCAGAGAAGCAAGCCACCCACCCACCCTAGCTAGGTGCATAGTTGAGATATATAAAATAAAAATATGAATTACAAAAATGTTGGCTGAAACAGTAGAATGGTTCCCCCCTTGCATTCCTAAGCCACCTAGCATTAAATGTCATATGGATTGAGCTAGCTGTTCTCCCCAGATGCGGACATCCAAATTTGGAGTAATGTTCAACAAAAGGATGCAGTGAACTAAAGCAGAAATGGCCAGGTCCCTCTAGAGCAGGGGTACCCAACCACCGGGCCGCGGACCGGTACCGGTCCGTGGAACATTTCCTACTGGGCCGCCGATTTGCTGGGCGCTGCCATCTTCTTTGATGAGAAAGTGCTTCCGGGTGATCTTTTCCGGTTGGAAAGCGGCGTTTGGGTCCTGAAAGAATCCTCGCGCCTTAGTTTCATCGAAGTGGGGGGGGGGGCTTTGAACGAAACTAAGGCGCGAGGATTCTTTTAGCACCCAAGGCAAGGCGAGCCGAGCGACCGTCCCGAAGCCGTCCCGAAGCGAAGCCCATCGACAAAGGTACAAAGGAGGAGTTGAAGGTGGCGGGGAGAAGCGGGGGACGGCTGGCTGGCCGGTGGCTTGGCTCGCCTTGCCTTGTCATGCGTGCTGATGCCAGTACCGGGCCGCGGATCATTTTGTGATGCCGGTACCGGGCCGTGGCACAAAAAAGGTTGGGGGCCACTGCTCTAGAGAACCGAGCTGCTGTTATATTAGTGAGACTTTGTGGCTGTTGTAGTGTTAGTGCAACTAATTTTGACTCTGTTTCCAGAAGACCTATATCCCTTGATTGTTCACAAAACACCCTGAATCAGGTTAGCAAAAGATAGCAGCCATAAGTGTGTGTTCCATTGTAATTGCGGTCAGTTTTAACCACGGTTAAGTTTTGCTTGATGGCTCACCTTGGATAAGCTTATGGTTCAATTAATGCAGCAAATGAGATAATAACTAGATGGAATGTGTACTGTGTGAACTCAAAGAGTTTTCAAGACAGACCCATTGAGTTTTAAGAGGATCATTTTGCTATAATCTATGGCGAGAGGTGGATGTTGTGATATCTACAGGTATCAGAAATTTAGCCAAAGAAGAGCTTTCCAAAGGTATTGGAAGGAAGTGAAAGAAATAAAGTAACTTAGAAGCAAAAGATGTGAATTTCAAGGAAAATTTGAACTGGAAAATTTTCCCATGCAAACGAGCATGATCCCAATTATATTCATCTCAGTGTATCCCAAATCTGCACAAGTATTTGGGCTATATTATATGTTGGGGGAGAGAGGCATAAAATCCCCACTTCTCAATATTTTAGAACAGTCACTTGAAAAGCAAGCATTGCACAACTATTTGAAACTCGGATTAATCCAAAGTGGAGCTGCCAGATTATTGCAGACATTCTGGCTATGTGTCTAGAAAGCATGCTTTTAGGATAGGATGGGTGAGCAGATTCCATTGAAGGAAATGCACCTTTAGGAACCCTAATTGGAAAACAAAGATAGCAACATGAATAGGACAAGTTAAACAAGTTAACTCTGGACTAAAAAAGAGATTATTAGCACCAGAGTGATGATTGTCCTTAGCAACGCAAGTTTGCAATCGGGTGCTGTGGTGTGAGGTGTAGCCAAAAGTTTTTAGAGACATTAGTTGTGTTACTACAACACAAGACAACAGGAAGCTGGTTGGATGCTGAATCTCACTGAGATTTTCCCAATTAAGGGCACGTATAAAGAGGTATAGCCCTGCTCTTCCTTGTGACCATTATTCCAGATATCAAGTCAACGGGACGACTGAGAATCTCCCATAAACATTAAGTCAATGGGATCGTATGGCAATGATAAGAACAGATTTTAAAAAAATCCCTTGCAAAGTTAGCTTTAGACTTTGTCTCAGACCTCGGGGAGGAAAAAATAAAATCCGTTATTTCCCCTTCTCTCCAGCTGAGGCCCTACAGGTGCATTGCTGTGATTTAGGAGGCTGCTGATAAGACGGTTTACGTGGACCTGACCTGGATTGGAAAGGTTGCCATTCAAGATGGCAAGAAGCCCTTGGAAATGGTGGCCCTTTTGATGCAAGTTCTGAAAGAAATCTCTGGCAGAGTTGCATGGTGGAGCCATGTTCTGAAACACCTCGGATCTCACATTGCTGAACACCTCCGTGGAGATGCGGGTGAATCTGCATTCGCTTGTTTCCGGATACTTTCTGATGGAAGAGAAAACATACATATGTGTCTAAACTTTGGACTTTGGCTTGATCCAGGAGATAGCAATAACATCTAGACTTATATCACAGTGCTTTCCAGCCCCCTCTGAGCGGTTGTTCTGACCTAGGCTTCCTTAGAAAGCATAAAACACAATCTTAATCCTGGCAAAACCTCTTTTGTTTCCACTTACGTTCATTCACAAGGCTTCCCAAACAGTCTTTCAGGGGGGTGCTTATCAACACCCACCTTATCACAGTTAGAATGCGGCCAGAGAACTAATTGCCAGATGCAGGGCAAGGCCAAACTTGCCACAGAGTCAAACAGAACTTTTCAAAGCTTGAACTGACCGGATTGCTTCCTGCAAAATCTCAGATCCCATTCACTCCTCTTTTATGTCCTATGGGAGGGACCAATCATCTCCGAGGTGTGGCCTTACTCCTGAATCGACCCTGGTTTCTCAATTGTTCTTGTCTTCTGCTAGATCTGCACATGCGCAGGCTGGGAACCGGTTCCAGAAGCTCCCCCGCATCACTGCTGTCCGAATCCAAAGGCAGCTGCTGACTGCCAGCCTGCCCTGGCCCCATCTCTGCCTCTCGTGCTGGGCCCTCCTCTGGGACTTCCTCAGTCTCCAGAACTGGCCGAGGTTCCTCCCCAACCTCCTCACTACTGTCCGACTCTGCTTCCAGCTCTGTCAGCCCACCGGTGGGCCACAACAACTATTTTACAGAGTCAGTCTCTTGCACCCAACCATCTGGGTCCTCATTTTACCCACCTCGGAAGGATGGAAGGCTGAGTCATCCTTGAGCCTGATGAGATTCAATCTGCCAAATTGCAGGCAGCCGGCAGCGAGCAGAAGTAGCCTGCAAGACTGCATTCTTAACCACTGTGCCACCTCGGCTCTGATCCTGGACTGAACCAGCTCAATAGACTAAAGAGAAGGGCCAAGGCATCACCCTACCTGCTAAGTCACTCCTCCCAATGCTAACCAGCCCTTCATACAGTTCTTTGATTGTGTTTTCTCCTGCCATGATGGTCCCATGAAGCCATATCAGAAGCATCCGATGGCCGTGTTCTCGGTAGCTTTTGGTGCCTGGTGAAAAAGGAAGAGCACAGGTGAAGTGAAATATTCCAAGATTATGGATTACGGATATCACAATGATATCACGTGTCACGACATCATCAACAAATGACACAAACGATGTCACTTCATTCATGATGTACTGTAGGCAGTTTGATTGATGCACGGAAAGTCTCTTGCCTACTTGATGCACATGGAAATGTGTAATTTCCTGTTGTGACAGGTGTATTATGACTAGGCTTTGGAATCTCAGAATAGTGTTGATTAGTGTACATTTAAAGTGACAATACAGATTCCTGTTCTGTTCTATTCTGTTCTGTTCTATTCCATTCCATTCCATTCCATTCTATTCTATTCTATTCTAGTTGCATGTCTAGCTAACTATTTGAGAGAGATTCCCTATCAGTTAAAATTAGTCCCATGTCCCCCTTTTCTATTTCCCTGACCTAATATTATGTGACAATCTTATATTATTATGGTCCATCGCACAGTCAGATGGTCAGACTGGATTTGTCATTTTTATCCACCTATCAAGTCCTTCATAAGGACCTATGATAGGCAGATGTCATTGTTTGACAGTGTTCAAGGCATTGTTGCAGGATATAAGCTGTTCTGGGTAAAGCTGTCTTTTGCAATTGACTGATGATTTTGTCAATGCCGAGGATCTTCAAGTTGGGTTGTTTTGGGATTGAACCCAAGGTGCCTATTACTGTTGGTACTATCTTTACTACTACTACTACTTATCATCATCATCATCATCATCATATCATTTCTATTATATTGCCACTATCATAACTGAAAAGGCAGCATAGCAACCAGATAATGAGTGGTTATGTTCATAGAACAAGCTTAAGCAAGTCAGATGAAGATCCATTGAGATTCATATAGCCTGCTACGCTTGGTAATCTTGGTAGGAGGATCATCTGTGAGGATTTGTGTGCCCAAATAAGTGAAGATGGCAGCTACAAGGATGAAATCAAAGCACTTTTTTCATGCATGCCATTTACCATCTTGACTATTTAACCCCTCCTTGCTGATGCTCCTGGCTCCCCCGCCCCCCCAGTTTAAAATATTGTGTAAATCCAGTTCAGTAGGTAAATATAGCAACAGCACTTAGACTTATATACTGCTTCACAGTGCTTTACAGCCCTCTCTAAGTGGTTTACAGAGTCAGTCTCTTGCCCCCAACAATCTGGCTCCTCATTTTATCTACCTCGGAAGGATGGAAGGCTGAGTCAAACTTGAGCCAGTCTGGATTGAACTCCAGACTGTTGGAAAAGTTAGTCCGCAATACTGTATTCTAACCACTGCGTCACCACGGCTGTTTGTTGTATATAGGGCAATATATCGTGTAAGCCCCAAACACAATAACCAAGTTAATGATGGCACTTGAATACAACTATGCTGTGTGTGTGTGTGTGTGTGTGTGTGTGTGTGTGTTTATATCTTACCTATGCAAAGTTTTTTTTCTCTCTCTGTCAAACTTCCTCTAGTTTCAAAAGTTGTGCCATAGGCAACTAGGCTCTGCATGGAACTCATTGATTCAGAACAGTGTTTTCAAATCTCAATAATCAAGTCAAGTTGATTTATAGGTTCTTGTACTGTTGTAGAGAGCCAATGTGGTGCCGCATTTAAGCATCAGGCTAAAAACCAGGAAACCATGAGTTTTAGTCCCATCCTGGGCACCAAGTTAGCTGTATAACCTTGGGCCAGTTCCAGAGGTGGCATTCAGCAGGTTCTGACCAGTTCTGGAGAACCGGTAGCGGAAATTTTGAGTAGTTCAGAGAACCAGCATATCCCACCTCTGACTGGCCCCACCCCCACCTATTCTCTGCCTCCCGAGTCCCAGCTGATCGGCTGGGTCTTCTTTGGTTGACCTGCACAGGAGAACAGTGCTGGAAAGCAGGTTAGTGGGGTGGGGAGGAAATGGGGATTTTGCACTAGCCTTCCCCTGCCACGCCCACCAATCCACACCCAGAGAACCGGTAATAACATTTTTTGAATCCCACCTCTTCCCCTCCTAAGAACGGGGAATTACTTAAGAGGAAGTGTGGCAAACCACTTCAGAAAAACCTTGCCAAGAAAACTGCAGGGACTTGTCTGCAGGAAATCTCTGAGAATTGGACACGACTTAACAGAAGAATAAAACTGCTGTAAGAATACATCTGATTTCAGAAGAATTTTTTTTTTTCTAAATGGGCCTCATTGTGAATGCATTGAAAATGTCAGCAAAAAAGAAAGGGAAAGATCAGTTAATTCGCACTTTGATTCCTAAGAACCAGATAAATAGGTATGGGTTGCTTGCAGATACATCCTCTGGAGCTAACAAATTGTGTTAAATATTATAAGAAAGCTTCTGCCTTTTAATAAAGCAGAATAGTTTGAAAAGGTGCCGCTAAGAGACCAACATAGCGGCCCTCCAATAGTGTCTTTGAGTATGTCACTGCTCAAGGCTTTTTCTGAATTGCCAATGTTTGTTTTAAATTTTTTTACTGTAACTGTTCTCAATTGTTGTCCACTGGGGATTTAAAAAAAAAACAACTGAAAAGAATTTTCTGGCTTTCATTGGAGATGATGAAGGAAGCACAGTAGTAATTCAGCTTCCCTAGAGGTTTGGGCTTGCCCACTGATGCAGCTGTTTTCTCTTTATAAAACCTGCCTGGGGTTGAACATAACTTGGGGTGTGGGAGACCAGAAAACCCAATTCAAACATGCTTCATCCACCTTTTTTCAACATGAATAGCCGGTCACAGCTGAGCCAGCTAATCTCTTAATAAGGACTTAATAATAACCTGGATGGCAGCCAGGTTAGAGAAAAATACTGGCTGGCAAAGTGGTTTTCAATTTTTACTTCTCCTTTTTTCTTGCAAACTGCTTCTTGATTTGGTCTCCTCTCTGAAAGAGATGCATCGTTCATATTTCATGAGATGTTTTCCTTCAGTGCTGGTCTCACAGTCGAAATGCTAGTCTTGCATTTTTAAAAAACCCAGGGCTACGGCTGTTCTAGCCTGTCTGAAAGACCCTAGAAAGAGTAACAAGAAGAGCAGCAATGATGATGAAGCGTCTGGAGGCTAAACCATATGATGAACAATTGAAGGAACTGGGCAGTGGTGGGATTCAAAAAAAATTGACAACCGGTTCTGTGGGCGTGGCTTGGTGGGCGTGGCAGGGGAAGGATACTGCAAAATCCCCATTCCCTCCCCACCCCACTAACCTGCTTTCCAGCTCCGTTCTCCTGTGCAGGGCAACCAAAGAAGACCCAGCCGATCAGCTGGGACTCAATGGGAGGCAGAGAAGAGATGGGGGTGGGGCCAGTCAGAGGTGGGATTTGCCGGTTCTCTGAACTACTCAAAATTTCTGCTACTGGTTCTCCAGAACTGGTCAGAACCTGCTGAATAGCACCTCTGCTGTAGATGTCTGTGGAACTTTTCAATCATCTAAGGTCATGGTTGTCTCCAAGATGTTGTTTTTTTTCAAAAGGCAACTGTGCTGTTTTTTTCTTGAGGAAGATGTTGCTGGTTCTCCAAACTACTCAAAATTTCTGCTACCGGTTCTCCAGAACTGGTCAGAACCGGCTGAATACCACCTCTGGAACTGGGTATGACTAGTCTAATGAAGAGAAGGACTAGGGAGGATCTGATAATTGTCTTCCAATATTTAAGGGGTTGCCACCAAGAAGAGGGAGTCCACTTATTCTCCAAAGCACCTGAGGGCAGAAGAAATAGTATCAGGTGGAAGATCATTAAGACAGAGAACCAACCTTCTAGCTTGCCTCTACAAGTTGTGGGTGCTCCAACATCAGATATTTCCAAGAAGAAAGTGGACAGCCATTTGTCTGGAACAGGATAGGGTCTCCTACTTCAGCAACAGGTTGGACTAGAAGATTTCCGAGATCCCTTCCAACCCTATGATTCTATGTTCTAGGAAAGTTAGACCCTCTTCATAATACAGATAGTCCTCAACTTACAACCACTTTTTTAGTGATAGTTCAAAGTTATAACGGCACTGAAAAAAAGGCACTCATGATCAGGATTGTTGTAGCATCCCCGTGATTGAGATCAAAATTTGGGGCCCTGGCAACCAGTATGTAATTTATAAGGTTTGCAGCATCCAAGGTTCTGTGATCGCCAATTGTGACCTTTCCAGATGACTTCCCACAAGCAAAGTCAACGAGAGAAGCTAGATTCACTTAATAGCATGTGTTATGGTTCACCGGCAGCCGGTGCAGATGGCAGCGGAATCAGACAGTCCAGGAGCCTGGACAGGACTCGGACACGGGTCCTGCGTCCGATGCAGAGATGGGGCCAGGACCATCTGGAGTCCCTGGTCTCCTATTCAGCAGCAGGTGGGAAGAAAGTCACCCCTGTCACCTACCTGTCCACTGGTGTTCAATTGCACGGATGTGCGCCTCCGTGAATTTCCAATAGTGTGCAAGTTTCCTCCACTCATTGGCCTTGAGGTATTTGGTTGCGAGCCGCCATATCACCGAACGGATATGTCGCGTTTCCAGCCGATGGTCTTGCTTGAAAGTTAAACGCTCGGTTATCCAGGAATCCGAATCGCTGTTGAGGTTATCCTGGAGATAAAAGGTCACAATTTCCTTCACGGTTCACAGTATGAACCCAGATACTTATGGTTATTCAACAAACCATGGTTAAAACACCCCAGGTTTTGTTTAATGATTGAGTACAGTCCCTTAGAATCACTGTCTTGCTGAACAAGGTTTGATTCCTGTAACGACTCTTCTATAGGGGGGAAATGGAGGAGCTGTGGGGCAAATCATCCCCACAGATCTAAACATGGAATGGATTATAGCACTTAGACTTATATATCACTTTACAGTGCTTTATAGCCCTCTCTAAGCAATTTAAAGAGTCAGCATATTGCCCCCAACAATTTTGGGTCCTCATTTTACCCACCTCGGAAGGATGTAAGGCTGACTCAACTTTATCATATCCTTTTTAGCTGACTTCTAATTCTTCATCTACCTCTGAGCAGTACACAAAGCTGGTTTGTCATGGTTTGTTTAACCTAGTTTTTCCCAACCTTGGCAACTTTAAGCTGTGTGGACTTCGACTTCCAGCTGGCTGGAGAATTCTGGGAGTTGACATCTTCACAGTTTAAACTTGCCAAGGTTGAAAAACACCAATCTAACCACTAGACATCTAACCATAGCTTACATCGAAACCAGTAAACTATGATTCAGCACACCCTGAGGACTCGGTTCACCCAATGTCCGAAGCCCAAATCCCACAAACCACAATATGGATTAGAGTAAGATGTCTACCAACCCTAAGCCTTTGGATGTTCCAGCCACATCAGAGACTGCCATGGTCCATAAAAAGGGGGAATGTCACTCCCTTTTGTTACTCCTGCCCTTCAGTCCTCAAGATCTCTCTTGTCTGGTTCCTCATTATCCTGCATTTCTTCTACCAGTTCCTACTAGTTGGTGGAGTCTTTAGTGCTCTCTGAGGTTGCTTGTTTTCTTGCAGGTGTTTCATTACCATACTAGGTAATATCATCAGTGCCAGTAGGGAGTGGTGTTTATTAAGCAATCAACATCCTGATGAGCTGAAATTAGCACCAAGATTAACATTAGATCAACAATCAAGAAGCCAACAGTATCTTGGGTTATACAATAGTGTGTCAGACAAACACACTAACGGTAAACAACAGCACAATCAAAGAGCTACCAAATCCAGTCCCACCGTCACTGACTGGGCAAGCCTTTTGTATATAAAAATAAGAACCAACCCTATTCCTTTCCAGTACTGATGATGTTATCTAGTTGGGTCACAAAATGTCTGCAAGAAAACATCAAGCTCAGAAAGAACCAAGGACCCACAGTTCATCCCTGAGCTACAGATATTCTTTTCTATCTTACTACTCCGTTTGACGAAAACAAAGTGGCTTTAAAAAAAAACCATTCAAAGGAAAGAGGATGATGGTAAAAATATCCCAGGAAGGGACTGCGTGTTCTTGCAGCTATTTAATGTCAAGGTGGACATGCAATGCATGTCCAATAAATGTCCTACAGTATTAGCCGTCTTGTCATCAGACTTCTGCAGTCTCCCTGGCTTTTCACATTTCCATCCATTTTATTCGATCATTTTTACCTGTTGTGACCCTCCCAGAGGGATTTAAATGAGATGGCAAGCCATACAGCTCAATCAATCAATCAATCAATCAAGTCCCTGGGCTTTTTCCAATAGCAGCATGACTGTTGTCACAAAGAGAGATTTTTGTTCTTGAGAAATAATTGCAGGGTTTTGGTTTCCTCTGGAGAAATTCTCCCAAGATTTGACAGAAAATTCCAACAAGTTCTTTGCCTCCGATTCCATCCCACAGCTACAATTTCCTGCTTGCCTATTTTTTTCCCCCCTGCACAATTAACTGCTTATCTTTATTACCAAAAGCCATTTTGTGCTCTTTCCCTTCTGCCCAGTTAACTTCTTTCCATTATCTCCTCAGCCCTCAACTTCCTTCACCTCCTTCGGTCACCTCAGAACCACAAATCCCACTTACTTTTTCCCACTTGTAAAACCTATCCGCTTTGATGATCATATCAACCAAACTGACGTGGTTCCCACGGGCAGCTACGTCCAGAGATGTTTTTCCTTGCTGCAGAAAAAATATATATAAATCCTCTGAGTTGAACAAGACAAAACATTGGAGTTTTTAAAAATAAATGGGCAGCAAATATTTAACTTTGGCCATATCATGACTGTGTTTACTCCACTAATTGATAGATACTTATCCCAGAATCTTAGATTTAGTTCTGCCTGATGTAATGGAAAACAGAATTTACATCTGTGTAGCTGATGCCATGCAGATTATTAGATAACAATCTTATACTGTGATTTTTTAAAGCATGGAGGAATTTTCAAGCATTTTATATTTTACGGTCGAGCTGAATGTCTGTGGAGATTCTCAGTCATCCAGGTCATGGTTGTCCCAAACTGCTTTTTCCAAAAGACAACTGCACTTTCTTGGGGTTTTTTTCTTTGAAAACTTTTAGCTTCTCATCTAAGACGCTTCTGCAGTTCTGACTGATTGCTGGGGAGTGGAAGGATTTAGTGCTAACAACCAGATGACTGCAAAGAATGTCTAAATCCTTCCATTCCTCACCAGTCAATTAGAAGAAGCTTCTTGGATGAGAAGAGAAACGTTTTCAAGGAAAACCAACAAACCAAAAAGTCCTATTGCGTTTTGGAAAAAGCACCTTTGGGACTGTTGAGTTGAATATCTGGAAGCCAGATTCAGTAAAACTCTTGTTATCGCAGAAGATAAAATAAAATATCTATATAGATGGGTTTTCCATCCAACCTGTATTGATAAACTCATATAATTCCCTGACATAGAAGCCAATAACATCTGATATGATCCATTGTGAGTTTGCTCTCCAGTATCTCCCTATAGTAGGCTTAGACAAAACCTAGAATGAAGACTAGCAGAGAAGCTTTGATGAGGTCCAGAAGGACAGATTTAACCCAGGACACTTCTGCTACAATGACCTCATATATCCATTATCTTCAAATGCTGTTATTATATAAAAGAGGTGTCACACTGGAACATTTAGATGCTTTGCCCTCAAATCATTTTGACCAGGAGATGCAACCATTCCCTCTATCTTGTATGACCAGTTTGTCTTTGACTTACAACCACCGTTGGGTCTGGAAAATTCATTGTTAAGCATCTTGGTCATTAAATAAAGCATCCTCTGACCACAACTGATTTTTTAATGTTTTTTTTTTGTTGCCACAGTTGTTAAACAAATCACCACAATCATTAATCACACAAGCCCAGATTGCAACCTTCCTTTCATTTATGTAGCACCGGGAGCTGGGTTAAGATCCTAAAATAAGCTAATACTACTCATAAGAACAACAACAATGTCACCACCCCTAGCATGAAGCTAAGTGGCATCTACTACCTATTGCCCTCCCGGAGGGGGCTATTTTGACTGTCTTTAAGTTAAGAGCATCAGGGACTGGCCCATCTGAATTTCTAGGAGTAAAAAATATAATGGGGACAGGATGTGCACTGAAAAACATTATTTTTGTAGATCAAATGTGGGATGTATAAGGTAAGTTCCCTTTAAAACATCCCTGGTGCATTCTCATGCTAAAATCCTGTGTGGCCATGGCTGGCACAGGTTTGCAAAGAGGTAAGCTTTCATGCATAGCAAAACAGCGACGTTACCTTATCGGTTAATTTTAAATTCACCCCAGCCATGAGGATCAACTCAGCGATATCTTGCCTTCCGTGCTCTGCAGCAATATGAAGAGGGCTCTGTTGCCTCTGAAAGCAAAAAATAGAGAATCAGAAATCAGCAGTGCAAAGAATTTGGGAGAAGCATCCGTTCCTTAGCATTGAGATGAACCGCTTTTGGGAATCTGGTTATAAAAGCTTTTCCTGTAGCCTTAAGGAGGCATTCTCTTCCATCTTTGGCACCTTGTGGGGACAAGAAGCTCCAGCAGGAGGGAGCCAACTGAATCAAAGGGATAGATAAGAAATAAGTAGCCTTTACTGTTATTTTTCTGTAGTACACACATTAAAATGAAATTCCAATGTCCACTCTCGAAAGAAAAAACCCCACCCACCAAACAATGTCAGCACTCCAAGGATAGCAGTAATATAATAGCAGAAGCAGCCAAAAGTGCCAAGTTATACAAAATGATGGCAAAACTTACACACACACACACACATAAATATCAATATTAATCATAGTTAATTAATCTTGAATACCTAGCGGAAAATGCCAGCTCCCAATTCCTACTGAATTTCACCCCAGAAATAATGATAAGCCTTTTCAATAATTCCTTGGACTTTGGGGCAGCTGCCTGAACTCAAAGGGAATTTTCCCCCAACTTGGATTCCATAACCATTTCATTACCAGGATGCGCTAAGACAAAGAGCTATAAGGTATAAAATTACGTATGTATTTGTATTTCGCATTTATGAACTGTCCATTTCTCTCAAAGAAAGAGATCTTATTTAGAGATTTAATTAATTAATTGTTCAATATTCCATAATTATTCTTTTTATAAATAATTCAAGACGGCTGCCTTATTTAATACTCTCCCCTCCTCCTTTTGTCTTTACAACAACCACAACCCTGTGAGGTGAGTTGGGAGGAAAGAATGGGCCTGGCCCAAAGGCATCTAGCCAGCTTTCATGCCCAAGGTGGGACTAGAACTCCCGGACTCCCGGTTTCCAGCCTGATGCCTGAACTATTAGACAAAGAATTCCAGCAAGTGAACTTAATTTTCAGTTTACAACCAATGCAACCAGCTCCACGAGTCTTCGACCAAGCAATGCCATCTTCAAAGACCCAGGAAGTGCCCCGTCTCTTGTCATGGCATCTTCTAATTCTTCTGGAATTAGATCCCCTTGAGATCCAGATAGATCCCTCTCAGATGGCATTACCTTCTCCTAGACATTCATTTAAGGTGACTGAGCCATTATCTGTGTATATTTGTTGGGTTGTTGACCAGTATTGCCATTTTCTTCTCCATTTTTTTCCTTGCCGTCTCTTTAACTTGCTTTTTTTCTTTCTTTCCCTATTCATATTAGATTTTATCCTCCATATGTTCCAAGCTGCCCAGAGGTGTTCTGGAGTGCAGTAGCAACTAAATTGAATAAATAATTTAATTAAAAGAAATGAAAGCAGTGCAGGAGGCTGTGATTTTGATCCTAGGTAGAGGCAGATATTTCTCTCCCTGAGCACACTGAGAATATATCTGCTGGAAAAAAACCTCCACATTGGCAACAGGAAGGGAATCTGGCCAGTAAACTCACAGCTCCATTCAGTTGCCCAGATTCCATCCCGCAAGGGATTATGGGGGTTGTTAAAAGAGGTTGATGATGATGAATTAGGCAAAGAACTTGCAAGGACTCTAATCTGCTGCCAAAGCTTTGTTAGAACTTAAACACATTGGTCTCCATAGTTTAAAAAGCCTTACATTATCAGGAACATCAAGGTCACATTCAGCATCAATGAGAAGCTTGACCATGGCTGGGTGGTTCCGTAGCACCGCAATGTGCATAGCTGATGCATTTTGCTGTGGGGGAAAAAAGGCAATGTTAATACTTGGAGCATTGAGCAAATCTAGGCTTCTAAGTTGCATTCTGCTGAAACTGGAAAAAGCCACATTGGAACTTCACGCAAGTTGTGGTTATTTGCTGATCTTGGTAGCACAATGTAGGGAGTCCTCAAGTTACACCAGTTCATTTAGTGACTGCTCGAACTTACAACTGCACTGAAAAAATGACTTAGAGCTGTTTTTCATACTTATGACCGTTGTAGCCTCCCTATGAATTCCTGATCAAAATTTGGGAGCTTGGCAAATGGTTGATATTATTTGTGACAGTTGCCGTATCCCAGGGTTATGTGATTGTCAACTAAAAAGATTACTCCTTTGGTCTTTTTAGCTGCCAGAAAAAGGGACTGGGGGAAAACAAGGCATTCTTGAAATGCCTAGATAATCACCTCGGTAGCCCAAAGTTTTCGGAGCATAAGAAGGTTATTGGAGAGCATGATGGATGACTCTTGGAGACTGATGTGTCCCATTGGAGAAGTCACATGCAGAGGGTGGGGGAAAGACCAGGGTCAAGGGGGAAATGTATGATGTGATTTAGTACCGGTTGCACCCAGCCACGCACCAACATGGCAACTTCTAATAAACCAGTTTACTTTTTCTGAGATGTGGCTAGAGACTTTTGATTTGAATGAGGGTGGATTTGTTGGGAGCTCTGACAGTGTCACTTTTTGCAGCCTTCCGACAAGCAAAGTCAGTGGGGAAGACGGATTCATTTAACAACCGTGCTATTAGGACAATAATAATGTGATTCACTTAACAGATGTGACAAGAAAAGTCGCCAAATGGGGCAAAGCCCACTTAACAAATGTCTCACTTAGCAACAGAAATTTGGGGCTCAATAATGGTTGTACGTCGAGGACTAACTCTATCGGGCTTTCAGATCTCTGCCTAAAGACAAAGAGTTGGCCATCCTTAGTTTAACCCACCCCTGTTTTCTCCATCTTTTCCTCATCCTTTTCTGACAAGACTAAAACAGGGCAAAACTCACGTAATAATTATCTTGCTTTGCAAGATAAATTTGGGATTCAATTGTGGTCCTGAGTAGAAGACTCCTGGGCCACATTCTCCTGGGCCATGAGGGAAAAACAGGCCCAGATTATTAATTCAGAGGGTTCAGCTTTAATCCCAAAGTGCCCCACAAATTAGTTTAGTTTAGTTTATTGTCATTGCACCTCGTACAACGAAATTAAACACATCTTTAGTGTACATTATGACTATGAAAATAACACAAACACACATCCTTCACATTCTATACAACTGAATTGAAAACCCAATATTGCATTAATATTGCACGATACAGCAGAATTCAAAAGAGCTACTGCCCTGGGATAGGAGCTGTTTTTCAGCCTATTTGTCTTTGTTTTTATTGTCCTGTACCGTCTGCCAGATGGTAATAGTTCAAAAAAAGGGTTCCCAGGATGAGGTGGATCTTTGAGAATGTTTTGAACTTTCTTAAGGCAGCGGGAGCTATAAAGCTCTTCCAAAGAGGGGAGAGGGCAACCAATGATCCTCTGGCAATGATGTTCACCCTCTGGAGTGCTTTCCTATCTGCCACTGTGCAATTGGCAAACCAGACACAGGTCAATAAGTTCAGATAGTCTCTATGGTGCAGTGGTAGAAGGTCACCGTGATGTTAGCCCTCTGGAATGCAGTTGTGTATCTAGTGAGTTTAACAGTCTTCTCCTTGTTCCAAGTCAGAGTTAAAGTCATAGAGAAGCCCTCAGAAAAATTTCTCTAGAAATGCCATCTTGATTGCTTTTGGGTTCAAACAGAACAAAAGGAAACAATCTGTCCTCGGGCTAGTTTACTGAATAATAAATCTTCCTTCCACACCAAATGCGGAAGATCTTTTGTCAGTTGTGCCCCACAGGTGGGAGAAACATAAACAGGAATTGAACCTTTGTTTTTACTGTAAATAGGGCTTATAGTTCATCCTTGGCAGTTGTTGAGTTTCTTTCTTCACGATTTTCCTTGTTCTTGTAACAATCTTATGGATCTCTGAGCTACATCCCAGAATCATTGCACACACAATGTCCGCTTCTAATAGTAGCCAGAAGTCTGACACTATTGGAGTTTTGAGCTGCTGGTGCTCTGGCTGCACCAGGGGATGTTCCAGATAGAGGTGGAGTGGAATAGCAATAGCACGTAGACTTATATTCCACTTCACAGTGCTTTACAGCCTTCTCTAAATAGTTTATAGTATCAGCCTATTGTCCACAATAATCTGGGGACAAACAACTATTTTACCGACCTCGGAAGGATGGAAGGCTGAGTCAACCTTGAGCCGGTCAGGATCGAACTCTTGGCAGTTGGCAGAATTAGCCTGTAATACTGCATTCTAACCACTGTGCCACCACGGCTCCTATGTGATCCTTCCAAGGGAAACTCAGAGGATGCGCCTGTCTCCTCTATTTGGAGGTGTGAAGATATTCTGGTTGCAGTTGATGAAATCAGTCACTTACATAATTCAGAGCATCCGTCTGGATTCCTGCAGCAAGAAGGGTTTTGGCCATGTCTACATAGCCATTCAGTGCAGCATAATGGAGGCAGGTCATTTTTTTCTGGGAAAAGAAAAACATCAAAGAGGACATCAGGCAATGCAAGCTCACAAAAATCTACTACAGCTAGCTCTTCACTTACAACCATTGGTTTATTGACTGTTAAGTTACAACGACACTGAAAAAAGTCACTTATGAATGTTTCTCATATTTACAACCATTGTAGCCTCCCCATGATTATGGGGCTATAGAAATGATGCAAATAAATAGATAACTCTGCTAAACAACTAATCCCCACAACATTGTCAAAACTATTTACTAAGACTGTATTACTATTATTCTTCTCATCCTTCCTAGTATCTATCTCCTACTTATGACTATAACCTTGTTGCTTGCATCTTTACAGTTTATATTGTTCTATTTAGTTTCCTAGTATGATTTTGATTGCTTATTGTAGCATTCTATGATTATCACTGTTGTATCTTATGATTCTTGATGAATGCATTTTTATGTACACTGAGAGCTTACGTACCGAAGACAAATTCCTTGTGTGTCCAATCACACTTGGCCAATAAAGAATTCTATTCTATAAAAGAACAAATAAATATTCCTCCGATATGTCTTGACCAAATACTTCAAATCAACTAACCATACCTGCGTTTGGACATTGACTTCACAGCCAGCTTCCAGAAGTAGATGGATGCAATCACTGTGTCCTCCCTCAGCAGCTAAATGTAGGGAAGTCATCCCTTCCTGGAGAAAGAGAGGAAACGAAAGCTCTGGTTGTCCTTCTAATTTAATGCATGAGAATTAGTTCTCACACAGTCAGGGATAAACAACATAGTAGCATATCTGTGGCCATTGCATGCACGAATGAGATCTGCAAAGCAGCCCTCTCAGGAAGAAGATGGAATTGGTGTCGGAGCGAAGGAGCACTGGAGCAGTCTGGAAGGACAACTAAATAGAAGAGAATCTCTCTAGCTCAGAGTTCAGCTGTGAAGTTTTGGTGCTCCGAGTTTGGTTGTTTTCTTGAAGATGTTTTGTTACCTCACAAGGTTATATCTTCAGTTGAGTCTTTGGTTGTTTTCTTGAAGATGCTTTGTTACCTGACTAGGTTACATTTTTAGTGAGATCCTTGGAGCTCCCTGAGTTTGGTTGTTTTCTTGAAGATGTTTTGTTACCTCACCACATTATATCTTCAGTTGGGTCCTTGGTGCTCTCTGAGCTTGGTTGTTTTCTTGCAGATGTTTCTGCAAGAGACATCTTCAGTGCTAGGTCTGCAGAAAACAACTAAGAAACATCTGCAAGAAAACAAACAAGTTCAGAGACAGCCAAGAATTCCACAAACAACTAAATCATGGCAAGGGGCCAAGATAAGGATGACTGTGTCATACACCTGCCTTATGTTATGTAATCTGCTTTGGCTATTACCAAAACTCAAGAAAAAGAGTTGGCATTAAATTTCCATGTTTCCTATGCGGGAAAACATATTTTTCAGTTTTATACTCACTGCATTCTTGTCATCCAGGTCCATGCCAACTTCTAGAAGTTTCTGCAATACATCTGCATGTCCATTCATGGCTGCCAAATGAAGGGCTGTGTTCTTCTCCTGTAAACCAAGGTGACATTCCATATTAAGGGGAGAAGAGCTGTCATGGGGATCCAGTGGGAGAACAGGTAGAAATGTTCCTCTAAGTCTAAGACATTGTGTCAGGCTACAGAACTTTTTCCCATTCAATTAGCAAGAATGAACTTCTGAAAACCAAACGTATCAAAAAGGAATCCTTTATTGAGATGAGACAATTCATGTAGGAGTTCAAAGCAGCATCTGAGGTCCCTCAGGCATACAGGGATACATAAGGGAGTTTAGAACCCCTCCCCTTATCTCAATGTGTATTTAGAGAAACAAAAGCCAGTATGTTAATTCCCCTCCCACCCCTTCTGTAGGAATGATCTTTCTCCCAGTTTCCCAGGACATACCTAATTTCCCCCCACTCCCTTTTTAGAACGAACTTTTTCCAGAGATTCCCTGGATACATCTCACTGTGGAATTTTTATGATCTTCTCATCTCCTGGCTGTGCCTCTCGGAGGTGATAGGTTCTGACCATCTGGCTTTTCTCCCTCCGTTGTATCATGTGTGGGTTATACAAATTCGATATAAGGTTAAATATATTCAGGTTACATCAAGAAAGGATTTATTTATCAGCCTCCCCCCACCCTTTTCTTCTTCCACTGAAGAAATGACAGATACACGGATCTGACACATTGTTTCTCAATCTTGGCCACTTTTAAGTTGTATGGACTTCAACTCCCAGAATTCTCCATCAGCCTGCTGGCTGGGGAATTTGGGGAATTGAATTCCACACATCTTAAACCTCTCCTTTTTTTCAGTATGTTTTATTTTTATTCATAAACATTTTGAATACAGTAAATTGTCAGGGCATATCATTTACGAAAAAGCAAAAAACAAACAGAAGAATCAACATATGTAGTAATAACAATAACAATAGTGTAGCAAAATAATTTTAACTAAATTTCTCTATGTATTAGCTTATTTATAATTCTCTTAATTATATCAACATGTTTATAATTATCAACCCTCTTTGTATTTAATTCATACATAACAATAATCTTTCTTCACCTAATTTCAAACTCTAACCACTCGTAAAATCTGTTCCATGTTAAGTAATATTCTGTGTCTTCTTTGTCCTTTATTTTTAATGTCAATCTATCAATCTCTGCACAGTCTAGTATTTTCTGAATTATGTCCTCATCTGATGGGGTGTTCTCATTTTTCCAATGTTGTGCAAATACAATCCTTGCAGCTGTCAATACATGCAAAACTAAATATACAATCCCTTTATCATATCCTTCTGGCATTATACCCAACAAAAATATTTCTGGTTTCAAATCTATGTGTTGCTTGATCATCTTTTCCAACCATGTGTGTATTTTTGTCCAATTTTCTTGCTTTCATACAAGTCCACCAACATCTTAAATCTCTGGATTTTCTAGCCCCAGGAATTCTGGCAGGCACAATACCATAAAATCAATCCATAAAAGTAAACTTCTGGGATTATATCTGATAATCATCGTTATATTGGCTAATTGCCAATGGGTAGAGCATTAGCAATGAGAAAGCAAAATTCTAGTTTAAGATGCTGAAAAACAAAACAACTATTCTTTCAAACGAGGTGTTATTACTTTCATGGAATGATGTAGTGTTGCAGTGTGGCACACCACAAGATCAGTTCCTTTGGGGTTTGCATGTAACATTGTGGTATACATAGAAAATGGAGGAATAGGTGTCACCACCTAATCCCCTTGCCAACCCAAAGCACCATCCAACGATCACACATTCTAAGTTATGAATCCAAGAAAATAAGGGCATTAGTTAGTAAATTAATGCAGTCATCTCAAATTTGGAATTAATGGAGTCATTCCAAACCTTCATGTAAATATTTTAACATGACCTTGACTTGGATTTTATAATAAACTTTCAAACTTATTATTTACATCCTGCCTTTTTGTGGCCCCTGGCTTTCATAGCAGAGGGCAGACTTAAACCTGGTTTTCCCCAGTCTTAAGCAAATATTTTAACCACTATACATATTGTGTCAAACACTGATCAACTAGTGACCCAGCGGGGGGCAATTGTAGAATGGAACAGTTACCTTGGTGGAAGTATGCAAGAGCTGTGAAGGGGAAATAGCAATAACACTTAGACTTACCTACCGCTGCGGAGTGCTTTTACAGCTCTCTCTAAGCAGTTTACAGAGTCAGCCTCTTGCCTCCAACATTCTGGGTCCTCATTTTAATGACCTTGGAAGGTTGGAAGGCTGAGTCAACCTTGAGCCGGTCAGGATCGAACTGCTGGCAGTGAGCAGAGTCAGCCTGCAATATTGTGTTCTAACCATTGCACCACCATAGCTCAGAGGCATGTCATTTGGGGAAAGGAGGGAGCATGAGAAAGAAACTCAAAATGATCCCACCTTGACCCCACTTGGCGTAAGATGGAGTAGAGAGAAATTCTGCCAGGCTTTCAAGTCGTTGTTGTTATACCTTACAACGTAAAAGTGGCATTCCTGGAATCTTTGCAATATCTGTTCCTCTCCTGGCCTATCTGGAAGGGCAGATATCAATCCTGAAAGTTTCCCTTCTGGCCCCACTTATCCCTGACAGAATCAAAGGAGGGGTCCTTGTTGCTCTCCGAGCTTGGTTGTTTTCTTTGCAGACATTTCATTACCAACTAGGTAACATCATCAGTTGTAAGAAGGGAGGAGGGTTTGTAGGGAGTAGGAGGAGCAGCACTGTGGGGTCCTTGTTGTTCATTGAGCTTGCTTCCTTGCAGACATTTCATTACCCAAATTAGGTAACATTATCAGTTATAAGAAAGGAGTAGGGCTTGTAGAGAGGAGGAGGAGGAGGAGGAGGAGGAGGAGGAGGAGGAGGAGGAGGA